AAGCCATGTGTCTAGAAATGTCAATTGGTCTGCTACGATTTTTTTTCGAGAACCTTATGCAGTATAGAAAGTATGGTAATAGGGCGATAATTATTAACTGGTGTTATTATGCCATGTTTCCAAAGCGATGTGAAGTCATCGGTGACTAAAGATGTATTAATCTAAAAACATTTTCTAAATCAAAAGATTCAAAGGAACCATGAGGATGCCTATAGATATAGATATAGATATACAGTGAAAGACGAAAGCATATTGCTTTGTACATTAACCTAGTTATCCTCTACATCTACACTCCTAGTAATTGTAGTGGATATCTCGTTTGTTTTGAAAGTGCCACGTACGTATAAGCAAACTCCTCCCCCACGTCCTGCCTCGCATCTATAAATATTAACATTTGGAATATTGATAAATGCACTTCACATATCTTGGTGAAGCCAAGTTTCACTTATACATATATCGAGATCTCTCTACATTATAAGCATTTTTATATCAAAATGTCCAATGAGAGACAGCGTGTGAGGAAGAGTGTAAGGAACGGAGAGAAAACTAGTAAATGCATGTATGTGTGTATGACTGTATATGTGGTGTGCGATAGTGTAAAAGACTGGTAAGTGTGTAATTTGCCAGAGAGACGTCTGCATAGAACTTCTCCCAATACGCAGATGGTCAGCGATTAGTTTTGCATACAACTTCTTACTCTTAACCTCATTTCAGCCTTTTACAATCCCTGAATATATCTTTTCATCACAATACTTTGGTATGAGGAGTAAAGAGAAGTGACCTTTAAAAACTTCGAACATTTATTAAAAGTAGTTAGCGGGAAAAACATGTAACTAAACTGTAGAAAAGAAATTAAATAAGTAAAACACAAAACACATGTAAAACATCAAAAGAAATAAAACTAGTAAAACGGAAAGACATAAATCATGTAAAATAATGAAATGGAAAAACGTAAATCACAGACATAAAACATGAATTTAAAAATGACTTAAAATAACTAAAAGAAACACGAGATCAATAAGAACTTAAAATAGGCAAAGGAATCACCGGTCTATTTTTCTCTATAATTAAAAGGTCACAGATCATATACCATTACCCTGCTAAAAAGAACTCCACGACCAAAAACATAACTCTTAGAACCGAGAAACCACGAGACCTCTAGATGTATGCTTCTTACCTTCCCTCATTAATTTTAAGCGGGAATGTTTAAAAGTCAGGGTATTTCTTTGTTAATTAAAAGTTCGCTCTTCATGCGGGATACATAATAATAACTAACCATAAATATATTTAATACAATATAACAATTAAAAGTAAAAAATAGAATGGAGGTGGACACGTTTTCTGTCCTCTCTCTGGGTGCGCATTTTCTATGCGTAGCCATGGGGCGAGTGGAGAGCATCCCCACCCCGCGGAGATAAAAAGGCTTGAGGAATACCGCAGAGGTCAAGCAAAGATCATACAATAGGCGCAAATCCTGCGGGAGATCGAGAGTAAGTAGGGGAAGAGTTTTGAAAATATGTATGAAGGCGTGGTGATCCACGACATGTGGAAGGGAGCTGGGAGGGTCGCTGGCCTCGGGTACATCAGGAAGGGAGGGTGTGGAGGAGGGTTCTTGGGTAGAGGTAGAGGGCATTCTGATAGGGAGAGGAGAAGCAAATGGGAAAGATTGGTAGGTGGATTGGTCAGTAACAGGGGAAGAGAGGTCGGATGGGATTTAGTAGGGTGGAGCAGGTTTGACGTCTGCTGCCCCTTTGCATTCCTGCTTCTGATTTATCATTTGTCGCCTGTTGTTTGGAGAACATTCCTATTAACAAATCTATTTTGTTTTCCAACAAACTATCATTGTTGAAGGAAAGTTCTTGGTGTGTCTGTGTTTCCTAGCCTAGTCTTCTGGAAGAACTTAACAAAAGGAGTAGAAAAACCTTTCTTTTTCGGCAGTTCGTGGTTGGGATGTTATTCGTTGTTGCGAACACCAGGTTTTCACTATTTACACAGTGGTCAATCATAGTGTGCCCAATAATGTTTATCATCTTTGTGTCCCTTGTTGTGTTTCTAGGTTTCCTAGAGTCTGATAGGTTGATTACGATATCATGGGCCTTTTCAATCTCTTCCGGACCAAATAGTTTCTTAATCTGATCACAGAGAAGCAATCTAGCCGACGCTTTTTTCGTGGCAACAAAGCAGAAGATGGTATTCAGCACTATTAATACATTACCTATTTGATATATTGTTTTTCAGTTTTGCTTTCAGTGTTTTCACTGCTTTCACTGTCTTCACTGATGCACTCATTACACTGGGTGGGAGCAGCCATTCCCCAGGCTGCCGTGGGAGTGCCCATCACCCTGGGCGGGGGGCAGCCGTGGCCTTGGGCGGAAGTCCCATTAGCCTGGGAAGGGAGCTCGTTACCCTGGCTAAGGGTATCCCTTCACTCCGGGGATAGGAGATTGTGCTAATTGCACAAGGAAGCACCGAGGTAACCCTCCGGTTGGCTCCCTTTGACCCGGGGGAGGTAGCCAGATTTCCCTCTGACGTTACGGGACCACAGGTTTCCATTTTTTCTGAGCTGTTTGGCTGATGGGGAGAGGAGGTTAAACACGTCCGATCACCGCGACGGCTTATTTCCTATTTGACTATTTCAAAGTTTATCTTTTAGGCTTCGTTCCCAT